AATTTGTTGTGGTGGGGGGGGGGGGGGCAGCTGGCCAGTGCAGGGTTTGAACCCTGGATGTTGGTGTTATCACCATCACACTCTAACCAACTGAGCTAACTGGCCAGCCCCAAGCTTTAAAATCTTGTAAACCCTTGCAAACAGATGACCATGAGCCCCTTGCAGCCAGTGTGTCTCCTGCTCAGCTCTTTGGGCACTCCACTCTGGGGGCACAAGGGGCTATTGACGCACAAGTTGCCCTTAATCGGAGCCCCTTAGAGATCTTCAATGCAGAAGTGCTCTTCCGAGAAGACTGCTCCCCAGACGAGTTCATCGATGTGATCGTGGGCAACCGGGTGTACATGCCCTGTCTGTATGTAAGTGTTGCCAGTGCCTGTGCAAGGGGGAGCCCTGTCCCCAGACCACATGGCCTTTCCTCTGAAAGCATTTCCTGAGCTCCTAGGACCCAGATGGCTGACCCCTCTGCTTTCCCAGCCAGGCCAGCCTCTAACAGGAGCAGAGGGAGCTGGGGCTCTCCATGTCCCTGACCTCACCTACACCTCAGGGGCTGCTTGAATCTTGCAGACATGGAGAGCTGGAAACCAGGGTTCCAGCGCAGCCTTGGCTTCTGTGGGACACTTAGAATCCGCTCCCATGCTTCAGTGAGCAAGGGGGAACCATGGTCAGGGGCAGCACCATCTAAGGGCCTTTTCCTGGGCTGCCTTGCTCCTTTCCTTCCCCAGCACTCACCACCACCTTTTCAATCTCAGGTTTATAACAAGATCGACCAGATCTCGATGGAAGAAGTAGACCGCCTGGCCCGAAAACCCAACAGTGTGGTCATTAGGTGAGGCCGCTGGCATCCTGCTGCTCTGGTGTCCCTTCTCTGTGTTCTGATCCCAGCAGTCTGGCTTCCCAGTCACCTCAGCTGCAGGGGGAGTAAAAGCCAGCCACAGCCTCCAGCAGTGCATGACCCTCACTGAGCCCAGCATTTCCTCCTGGGCAGAGCAGTTTGTTCATGAGGCCAAGGAAATGCTGCAGGAGGGTCCCCTTCCTATGGCTGCCGGGGCATTGGCCTGTTCCAGACCCAAACTGACATGGACAGGGTGGATGATGTGTGTTGGGCTCTGATTAAGAAAGCAGAGAAGGATGTTATTAACAGAGGTGTAATGTTTAAGAGGCTTCTCAGCTTAATGAACTGCAGCCTTCCAGAAAGCCCAGGTGTGAGCCTGCCTCTCCTTGTGCTCTGGAAGGCATGGCTTCTGTCAGACCACACACCGCTCAGGGGAAAAAGGAAACTAAAGTTCTCAGGTGGGCTCCCTGCCCATTACAGGGTGGGTGCCTGGGGTGCTGCCTGCGCTCGGGCTAAGGGCTGTTTATTCACTTCCTACCTCTGTCTGTGGGCTCCATGTTACTGGTTTCCCTGCGGTTTCACAGTGAGGCTTGGCTTATGGGGGGCAAGACGCTCAGAGACCAAGTGGGGGTGGCTGGTGCAAATGATGGGTGAGGGTCCTAGTCCATGCTGGGGCCATAGCCTGGGCATTGCAGGCTTCAAAGAGCAGCATCCCTCCCGCGGGACAGCCTCAGCTCCTCCTCCCTCCTGCTGCATCCCAGGCCTTTCAGGGGCTGCCTGAGGACATGCTGACCTTGGGGCATGAGAGCAGCTACACCTTTACCCATTCATGCTCACACAGCTCTACACAGGTCAGAACACCAGTCAGTGCCACACTGCTGCAAACGGTCAGGCCAGTATCCATCCCTGGTCTGGGCATTTCCACAGCCTGGGTTCTTCCTACTCATGCTGAAATCCCTGCTGGGCTGCCCTGGGCCTCTTGGCAGCCCCTCTTCTCTCAGGGAGGGCTGAGCTCTCAGGGAGGCCTGCGCTCCCGCCGCAGGTTCGGATCCTATGTAGGAATGGCCGGTGCGCTCACTGGCTGAGCGCGGTGTGGGCGACACCAAGCCAAGGGTTGCGATCCCCTTACCGGTCACAAAAAGAACAACAACAACAAAAAAATAATAATGGGCGTGTTTCCCCATGGGCACCTGTGGGCCCACAGTGGCCTTGGTGCCTATCCCCGGCCTCTGAGCTCCAGGGCCCTGTCTGGCCACCTTCCTTCCTACAGCTGCGGCATGAAGCTCAACCTGGACTACCTGCTGGAGATGCTTTGGGAGTACTTGGCCCTGACCTGCATCTACACCAAGAAAAGAGGACGTGAGTCAGGCGGCCCACAGCCTGGAAAACTGGCTAAGTCTCTCCCTCCCCAGAGGGCTGCCAGGCCTGCCTGTGGCGTGCAGAGACCCTAGTGCCAGCCCCACCCAGCTTGTCTGGACATGTCTCAGCTCTTGTCAAAGCCGGGCACTGCTCTCTACCCCAGACTGGTATAGACCTCTGCCTGGGCCCATATGGCAGAATGCAGAGTTCTGGAGCTGCTGGTCTTGAGGGGTCCTGGGAGGCCCAGGGACAGCAGTGGGCTAGCTCTGGAGTCCCTACCAACCACAGCAGTCACTGCCCTCCTGATCTCCCCCACAGGTGGCAGGCCCCACATCAGAAGCTTTAGGCAGCTGAAGCCACAGGAGATCCCCCATGTCCCCATCCCCGGCACACACACACTCATGTGCCCTGGGGACCCAGAAGCTGAGTTCTGGGCAGTTTGCATCAATTCTGACCTTGTTGGTAGGGGAGAGCTACAGCTTCCTCCCCCAGACTCCAGCAGCTGCTCACTTCCTGCCTGTTCAGTCCACATGCTCTGAGTGGCTCACTGGTGCTGTCACAGCTTATGGGGTGGCAGGCAGTATGAATCCTGGGCTTTGATCTGTTAGGGTCAAGGTAGTGGAGGATGGCACAGGGATCTATACTGAGGGTGTATCAGATAGCGGGGGTTGGTTAGGCCATGACTTGGAAGACCAGAAGGGCCTCTGCAGCCAGCTCTCCTTAGGGAGAGGAGTCACAAAGGAGCGTGACCGGGTGGTTGACAAGCTCTCCCCCACCTCTCCCTGCAGAGAGGCCAGACTTCACGGACGCCATCATTCTCCGGAAAGGGGCCTCTGTGGAGCATGTGGTGAGTTGACGGGACCCGCCCAGACAAGGGGATGAGAGGTTTGTGGGCCCCTCAGGCCCTGTTCTGCCTGGGCACTACCGATGGGGTGGGGGTCCTTGCCTCACTCTTAGATGCCGCAGCAGGCTCTGGAATTAGACAGCCCTGGGGTTACACCCACCCCACCCCTTCCCAGCTGCAGATCGGGCCTCTGTCCCTCTCCTGCAAGATGGGGTGATGCTGCCTACCTCCCTGGGTGGTTAGGAGGGTTGCATGGGATGAGGTCAAGTGCATAAGGTGCTCAGCATGCTGCCTGGCACTGGGTAGATGCCAGTGAGCAGTTCCGTGTCACCCTGCTCCCAGTGCTGCAGGCTCCCCGGCTGCCACCGTGCACGTGTTCAGTCCAGGACATCTACTAGCCTGGCTGTTTCTGTATTGTTATTCCAAGTCAGGGTTCTCCCAGTGGGGCTGGAGCTATAAGAGTAAGAGAGGCGTCCAGACCCCCTTCCTCCCTCACTCTTGGTGGCAGATCTGGCTAGGGCCTCCTATGCCTGTCCCCCCCCCCCGCCCCCAACTCAGCCCCCAGCCTGCCTGCCCCTCCTACTCCCACCTCCGGCCCCCCAGCTGGGATGGCTTTGAATGCTTTCTGCACTCATCACAAGCTTGTTGAGCATCAGCACTGAACAAAGCAGCCCTGACTCCCACCAGAAGTAGGGTCTTTTGGAGTCAGCAGATGCCAGACACCCAATCCCAGAGCTAAATGTTACATACAGGTGGGGAAGGGGAGCTGCCCAGTCTACACTAGGCGGGAAGGCCACTCAGCGCCCAGACTACACTAGGCGGGAAGGCCACTCAGGGGAGGTGACCTGAGCTGGTCTGTGGAGTGAGTGGGTCTGACAGTGGAGAGTTGGGGGTGAGGAGCGTTCCTGGCAGGGGAGCTGGCATGCAGAGGCCCCCAGGGGGGACGCTCTGGGCTCAGGGAGCATAAGGGTGCATTTCCATGTACAGAACTCTGTGGCCTGAATGTGACCCTGCAGGAGCAGGTGATGGTCTAGAGTCTGGGACAAGGCCTCAGGTCACACAGTCATCTTCCTTGGCTTTTATTCCTTAGGTTTTGTTTTCCTTGAACTCATTTCTTCTCGGGATCTATATTGTAGAGATAGGGGACACTGTGAGACCCAGCTGTCCCTGCAGGCCCTTAGAAGGACAGCGGTGGGTGGGCCTGCAATCTGGTCTCAGGTATTTGTTCATTCAACAAGCCCAGCCCAAGGCCTCTGGGTGCCAGCTTTGAGGTACTGATACAGTTGAGGCCAGGCAAAGTCACATCTTCCTCAGGGCCTGGGCCTGCAAGTTAATGTGCCAGGTATGAGCCAAGGAAACCCGGGATTACCCTCCCAAATCCCTTCAGTCACTCATAAGGAGCTCCGTGTTGGAAGCTCTGTCCCACAGGTCTGTTTTGGAGACTATGGCTGCAGTGTCTACTGCCAGGAACCCAGCAGGCTGTAGACAGGTGTCTGCATGTGCTGGCCTTTCCTGGAATCACCCTGCACCTGCTCGGGGCAGTTTCTTTAGCCCTCTCATGCCCTCAGCTGCTTGCCCCACAAGATGTGGGGCTTCAGCCATGCCTGGGAAGAAGAGCAGGAGACACCAGGAGGAGAAGGGTGTCCCAGGCAGCGGGAATAACAGGTGCAAAGGCCCAGAGGCAGGAGCGAAGGTGGGGAACAGAGGGGCAAAGGCTGCAGGTGCTGGACCCAAGGGTGAGAAGAGGCTGGTGGGATGGGGAGGGGCTTTGGGAGCCTTGCTTTAGAGCCTGGACTTTGTCCCAGAAAGGCCTGCCCTTCAGCGGTCGCCTCTCTCCCAGCTTGCCCTCCCCATAGGGGCCTCCCTCCCCAGAGGACACTCAACTGTCCCAGCGCCACAGAGTGTAAGTGAAAGTCCTGCCCTTGCCCAGGGAGTTCATCACAGCCTGGATACTGACAACAGGGACCCAAAGTAGATGAACCAGGTAGACATCAGCTAGCCAGACTGGGGGTCATGCCCCAGCTCCCCCATCCTATGCCTCAGCTTCCTCATCTGGGGTAACTGACCCCCAGGGTATTGTAGAGCGCCCAGCCCTGGCCCTCTGCTACTTCTGGTGAGAGCTGACAAAGGCCTTGCCTATGAAGGGGTCATGACGAAAAGGCCTGGGGCAGAGAACACACGTGAGCTCTCAGGAATGAGACACAGCAGACTTCAAGGAGTAATCGTCTTCCCCCAAATACACTCTCCCATTTTTCTTAAAGTGATGGCGTTCTTGGATGACCTTCCATTCTTCCCTTGTTGCTAGAGACATGAGTACAGGAAAATACTTCTCTCCCACAAGAAGAACCAGAGAGCAAGTGGTAAATGGCTCCTGCTGAAAAGGCTTGACTTTTGTGTTGGGGACACTAGGGCATGGCAGGGTCTGTGGCAAAATGCAGAGCTCACACTTCATCTGCCTCAGGAGTGAGGATCAGCCCAGTGTTCCTAAAGCTCTCAGAGTTTCAAAAGAATCCAGTGACTACATAACCTTACCTTATAAACTTTGCCAGTGAGTTTATTTTCTTTTATTTTTTTTATTTTTTGTCCTTTTTGAGACCGGCTGCACCGCACTCAGCCAGTGAGCGCTGTGAGTGCACCGATCATCCCTATATAGGATCCGAACCCGTGGCGGGAGCGCTGCTGCGCTCCCAGTGCCGCACTCTCCCGAGTGCACCACAGGCTCGGCCCTATTTTCTTTTATTTTTAATGATGAGCAAGTTGGATAAAACCTAAAACTCATTCATAGGCCAGAGCTGACTCTTACCTCTAGGCCATCAGTTTTCATTCTCTGGTCCAGAAAAAAACAGTATTGGAGTTGATTGTTGTGGGTATGCATCCTTGTCACTGGCAGCAACACTCTATTCTCTGCAGCTGTGGCTTCCTTGGTCACATAGAGACTGGAATCAGTTAGATTCCTGTATATGCTTGGGAAGTATTCTTACAGGCCTGACATCTTCCCATGGAAGCTGGGCTGAGGCATGTGGTTTCCAGCCAGGGCCTGTAAGGCTTGTAGGCACGAGGGGAGGAGGAGCCACACTGCACAGTCTCCTCCCTTCCCTACCTCCACTGTGCCTACCATCACCATGGCAACCAGGGGTCCCCATTTTCGGGCAATTGCTGGTTGCCCCTTCCAGGGTTTCCTTCCACTTTCCTGAGAGCACTGGGATGGATTCCTATGACCTTCATCCCTACCCAGGAGCTCTGAGGGATGTAGACTGTTGTGAGGGTGGAGGTAACTTGGTTTGCTGGAGGTTCCAGGCCACAGCTGGGGCCAGGAGAAATGAGAGTGACCAAGTGTCTTGAAAAGCCACCCTGGCCCATTGCAAAGGAGCAGCTGTCAGGTTATCATTTAGGCATGGTGGGCAGAAGGCCACGAACAGCCAAGTCCCCAACCTTTCTCTAACGGCTATGGGAACAATCCTAACTGGGCATCGTAGCTCTTTGGCAAACCCAGGAGTGGGAACTTCAGAACTGCTTGCAGCCTTCAATAGGAGGCAGCTTGCAAATCGAGCACCTGACGTTCCTTGACACAAGGCCTGGACTGTTTGAGCATGTGCCGTGGGAACTGCTGCTTCTTGTCATGTGCCCTGGGCTTTGGGTATGTGGCTGTGCTCGGGGTGGAGTTGGGCAGAGCCTCATTCCCTGACTCTCTCCTGTCCTCCAGTGCCACCGCATCCACCGGTCACTTGCCAGCCAGTTCAAGTATGCTCTGGTGTGGGTGAGTCTTGGAGGCGGGGTGGGGGTTAGACCCAACATAGCCTCTGGGTTAAGTGCAGAGCAAGACATTTTGTGCTCCTCTGTGCAGTGTCCCTGTCCTGCGTGGGGACTGGAGTATCTTGTCTGTCCCACTCCACGGGGTATGCATGCTCACCCAGGCTGGACATAGGCCTCCACCACCTCTGAGATGCAGGGATGAAGAGATCACTGGGGATGTCCTGCCATCTGAGGCCCCCACTTTACACTCTGGCATTCACCCCCAACACACACACCCCCACCTTCCTCCAGTGATAGCTCCTTCAGCCTTGACCAGTCCAGAGGCTGATGTGGCCTCTTTGCCCCCATTCCCTGCCCAGGGCACCAGCACCAAGTACAGCCCGCAGCGGGTGGGCCTGACCCACACTATGGAGCATGAGGATGTCATCCAGATCGTGAAGAAGTAGCGCCTCCTACGGGCCTCCTGCCCACTGGCCTTGTCTCCCTGGGGAGTCAGACCCACTGGCACATGCAAATGCCCAAACAGGAAAAATACAAATACACACACCCCAGGAAGGGGTTCCTCAAATCTCTGCTGTTTCCAGAAGTTTCTTCAGTAGGCAGATGATGAAGAGTGTGTCGAGACAGAGGGGGCAAGCTTGGGGGACTTGGGCTTGGCTGGAAGCATTTCCTACGAGACTGATCCCTCCGGTGGGGATTCCACGTTGGAGCCCTGAGCCTGCATCTCTACCGCCTGCCCCTGTGGGCACTGAGGGAGCAAGCTGCCTACCTAACCCCCTACCAGGGCCTAAAGCAGATGGTGGCCTAATGCTGGGGCAGGGAGCTGGGCCTGCCTAGGCCCCTAGAGGCAGTGGTTACTGTCAGGGCACCTCGTTCCCTCAGCTGCCACCTCCTCTGGCACTTGGAGAGGGGGTCTCCCAGGATGAAACCCCCTCAGGTCTCCTCACACACAGGGCTGTCCTGTGGTGGAAACCAGAAGTTAGTTGCTTCAAGGCCCAACTTGCACCCTCCACAGCCTGAGTGGTGTCCTAAAGTGCCTCCCCTCTTAGCCCCTCCCGGGGTAGCCCCTGCCCAGCACAAAACCCCAGGACCCTGGCCCTGCACACCAGGATGAGAGTTTTGAGTTTGGTTCTGTATTTTTCTAAGCCCCCTGATCTGTCTGCTCTCCTTTCTGAAATAAAGGGTTGAAAATGATTCCTGTTCAAACAGGAAACTTGTAAACTTGCTGAACTCTGTTGCCAGATCGGGATAGAGGGCCGTGATGAGCCTGGTGATGAGAGAGAGGGTGCAGCCTGGCCCACGGGGGCAGGCCCATCTTGGGGTGGCATGAGAACACGGGGTCTTCTTCAGGGTGGGCTCTTTCTGGGGGGTTGGCCAGGGATTGCAGTGGAGACTTGGCCCAGTGGAGGCTGAGTTTGGCATCCCCAGGGGACCCTTGCAACCATTTTTTAAAATTTATTTCGTAAAAGATGACCAGTAAGGGGATCTTAACCCTTCACTTGGTGTTGTCAGCACTACACTCTCCCAAGTGAGCTACGGGCCGTCCCCAGCAACCATTTTAGAGTGGAAGGGAAGCTCCCTGTGAGAGTGAGGTAGCTGGATGCATTTCCTGTTGCCTCAAAAGCCAGGGTGGGGGGCCCAGCAGGGGCTTGCTAAGCACCTACCTCATGCCAGGGACTGTGCTGGCCATCACGGCAGCCTGTTCTCCAGGGGGAGTGACTCACCCTAGGCTACACAGCCTGTGAATGCAGAGCCAGGATTTGAGGCCTCTGAGCAGCAGGGAAGGCTTCCTGGAGGTGGTACACTTCTAGGGGTGGATGGAACAGGTTCTGTGAGGCTATTTGGAGGGGAAGAGTGCTCCCCAGGGTCCTTGATCAGGCTGGAGAGTGGGCAGGCCCACTTCCCAGCTGTCCAGGCTGTTCTGGCTCCCCTGTCAGCTGCTCGCTCCTTTCCAGAGACAAAACAAGAATAATAGACATCATTAAATATACATGAGGCCCCAGGCGGTTGGCGTGGTGGGCTGGGCCTCCCAACACTGAGCTGCTCTGCTGGATCAGCCGTGCTCCTGGGGCCAGCCACAGGACCCCCATCAGGCGGCATGCAGGCAGGGAGCAGGCTACGAGACCCAGGTAAGGGAATCCTGGCCCCCCCATCAGGTTGCAAGGGAGAACAGGAAAGGGGGTGGTGGCAGAGCTGGGGCCTTGCCCCTCATTCAAAGGCCCTTCTCTGAGCCTCACTTTCTTCATCTATAAAGTGGGCATGATAATGCCCATGCAGCCCCCTTCTTGGTGACAATGGGATGTCAAGATAGGTAAGTGGTAGGTGGCTTAGCTTGGCCCCTCTCCCAACTGCCCTGAGGCCTGGCCGTGAGGTCCTAAGTGAGGGTTTCTGCCTGGGTGATGGTTGTTCCCACTCCCTGCTGTACAAGTGGGGTCTCTGGACCCAGGGAGAGGCAGTGAAGGCCCTAAGATTAAGGGCCTCAGGCTGAGTCCAGGCCTTGTATTGATCCAGGCTTTTCTGTGCCCCCAAGCTGGCTGGGAAAAGTCAGAGATGAGGCCAGAGGTCTGGGGGTCTTCAGGCAGTGAGGGCTCAGGATAGGCAGGTCAGAGACTCCAGTCTCTGGGCCATGCATGTTCCTCTCCGTGAATGGGCTTCTTTCCTGGGCTGGGTCTGTGTGTCCATAGATCAGGGCAGTCTCTCTGTGACTCTGTGTTGTGTCCTGGGCTTGCTTTCTGTGATCAACATAATTGTATTGTCTAAGCCTGTGTGAGAGAGAGAGAGAGAGATCTGGGCTGATTCCAGGTCAGTGTGAAGTGGCAGGTCATAGCGGCCTTAGGGCTGGAGAAGCCCCCTAAGAACCCCCAAGGTCCTTGACCCACCCCACCAGGGTAAACTCCAGGATTGGGCCCTGTCCCTGTCAGCCACCCTGTTCCCATCACTCGCCCTCCCTGGTGATCACAGGAGGGGACTTCACCCTCACTCAGGCCTGTCCCCAGGCTGCAGATCCTGGAGATGGCTCCCTATCAGGACACAGTGATCTTCCACGTTCATTTCCACAGCCGTGTAGTGCTCAACCCTGATGTGTTGTAGCAATGAGGAGTTTTGTGTACACCATTCCCCTTGTGCACACAGGATGTGTAGGACAGATTCCCAGTGGTGGATTCCTTCCTCCCATCTTTCCCCTCTCCTTCCCTCCCTTCTTTTTTTGTAACAGCTTTTTAGAGATATAATGCACACCACGAACAATTCACCCACTCAAGTGTATAATGCAGTGGTTGTAGTGTGTCTGCAGGTAGGCACACCCTGTGACCACCACAGTTCTGTTTTTCTGGAACTCTCTTCCATCAGGTTATGACCACTCTCGCTCCCCCCATCCACTGGGGCCACCTTGGTCACAGTCACCCCTGTAGCTCTAAGTGGCTACACCCAGTGGCCAGCTCTCTGTCCTTGACTAACCCAACCTTTGTGCCCATCTGCGTGGCTGCCCTGCCTTCCTCCTTGAAACACTCTTCTCTGTAGCCCCCAGGAGCCCACTCCCTCCTGGTTCTCACCACCTCCTCTGGCTGGCTTTGTGGTGGTCAAGCACAGCCTCCTTGGCCCCCAAATATGGCAGCCCCAGGCCTCTTTCCCTGGGCCTCTCCTCCCTTTGTTGTCATTTCCTGGTGTCGTCCTCCAGAACTGTGGCCTCAACACCATCTAGATGCTGATGACTCCCTAACTGATGTGGCCAGCCCCCTTGTCTGCAATGGCCTCCTGGCAACCCTGAAACTACCAAGGCAAAGCTGACTCTGGTCTCACCACCTCAGCCGGCTCTGCCTGCATCCTTCCTCACCATAGCTGCTGGCCTCTCCATGCCCCTGCTGTTCAGTAAGGAAACCTCAGAGCCACACCTGCTGCCCCCGCCCCATATAGCAAATCCTGTTGGCTCTGCCTGCCACATACGTCCAGCACCCCACCACTTCCCCACATATCCATTGCCAGCAGCCTGGTGCGGTCCCTGACACTGCTTGCCTGGGTCATCACAGAAGCCTCTACCCTGGCCTCCTGGCATTAGCCAGAAGGATCCTGTGAAGACTGAGGCAGCCCTTCTCTGCCAAAACCCTCCCAACAATGCCTACCTTGATGGCAGTCAAAGCCAAGTCCTCACTGTGGCCCTGCACATCTGCCCCCAACCTCCAGCCTCACCTCCCACCTGCTCTCCTCACTGCCCTCTGGTTGCCCTGGTCTCTCTGCCCCTCTCTCCCCTTGAGAACCGTTGTGCGCCCACAGGGCTCCCATCCTCACCTCCCACAATTCTGGGCCCCACTGTCACCACCCAGCAAGGCCCTCCCCAACCTCCTATTTAATGCTATACCCCCCTCCCAACTCCCTGGTGCCCTTCCCTGCTGAATTTCAACACACAGCACTTATCACCATCTGACCCATTATATATGTTATTTTTCTTGTTTATTGACTATCTCCCCACCTCCGTATGTAACTCCAGGAGAGCAGGATTTTTGTCTGTTTGCTTCACGGCTGCATCCCCAGTGCTTAGACAGGGCCTGGCAAACGACATGCTTTCCAGAGACTTTGAATAAATGAATGAATGAATGAATGACTCTGGCTACAGGACCCTCAGGGCCAAGGGCCAGGCTGCCTGAGGAATCCAGTGGGGGCCCTGAGCAGGGACGTGGCCTGGGCAACCTGCATCGATATATCAGAAATGAACGCCAGGGAGACCTTGGTGCCTGGCCTCTGGCTTGTCCAGTGGCTCGATCAGGACCCTCCAACCTGCAGAACTCCCTGCGGGGGCAGGCTCAGGGTCAACTTGGCTAAGTCCCAGCCTCTGCACAGTGTCTGAAGTTTCTCCCTCCTGTGTGAGGGCCCAAGCACCCAGGAGCTCAGTGGGCAGGAGGGCCTAGCGAGGAAGTTAGGCCCAGGTTCCACCCTCCCTTCCAAGCTGAATGACCTTGAACAAGTCACTTCACCTCTCTGAGTCTGAGTTTCTTCATCTGGAAAATGGAGATAATAATAGTTCCTATTTCACAGGTCTGTTGTGAAAATCCCATGAAATCATTGTGTGACATACCTGGCTGGGACCTCACTCTGGAAACTGGCTCCAGGAAAGGCAGGGGCAGGTGTCAGCATCTCTGGGCTCAGAAAGAACAACTCCCCAGCACAGAGTTTGTTTTCCCTCCAGCGGGCAGCAACTACAGCCCAGAAAGAAGAGGGAGAGTGGACAGCATAGGAGGTGATAGAAATTGTGGCTGTCCCCACAAAATTCCACATTGCAGGGCTGGCCAGTTAGCTCGGTTCGTTACGGTGCAGCCTTATAACACCAAGGTCACGCGTTCAGATCCCCATACTGGCCAGCCACTGCCCCCCCCAAATATCCACATTGCTGGAGACCCACTTCCTGCACGCTCCCCCAACACCCCTCCTCCCCCCAGGAAGCCACCTGATTGCTCTGGCTTCCATCAGCACCCCATCCCCTCCCCATGGTTGCCTGCAGCAGGTACCACCAGCCCCTGGCATGACCCCTTCGAATGGCTGGAGCACAGCTGGCTCTCGGTGAACAGAGAGGCAGACAGGGAGAGAGAGAGGAGATCTCGCCTGCTGGCATGTTCCCTGCTCAGTGCCTCTCCATTTGCCTGAGAGGCCTCTTGCTGTCCCCACTTCACAGCCAAGCAAGCCAAGACTCTGAGGGCACTCACCTGAGAGCACGGAGTTAGCAAGTGGCAGAACCAGGGCCAGAACCCTGCTACTCTGGGGCATTCTATACTAAACCTTAAATAACCAAAGAAATAGCTTTCACATCCAAAGACTAAGCAGAAGTTCAGTGGATAGAGAGCCTGACTTGATTAGAAATCTCTTCAGGCCTGGCCGGTTAGCTCAGTTGGATAGAGTGTGGTGCCAATAACACCAAGGCCCAGGGTTCAATCCCTCAACCAGCCAGCACCCAAAAAAAATAATTTCGTCTTCACTCACCCTGGCCCCCACACGTCCTGGATCCTGAGCAGACGGAAGAGGGGGAGGAGAAAGAGGAGGAGGAAAAGGAGCAGGAGCAGGAGAGATGGTTCTGAGGCTCCGGGTTCCACAGTCACTACCCTGCAAGGTCTTGCCTGCCTCCTTCCTCTGACAACTCACAGATTCTCAAAAGTGAGTCAGACTGGTCACCAACCAGACAATAGGCACATAGCCTAGGGTCAGGTGTCCAACCTCAAGCAATAAGCTGCAGCTTGTGATGATAGGAGCTATATGGCCACAGCCTACTCAGCCAGGGCAGTAAGCTCTTGTACTACCCAGCAGCTCCATCAGGTCTTGTTTCGTCCTGGTGAAGGAGACAGGGAATAGCCTATTATTCCCATTCTACAGATGAGGAGACTGAGGCCCAGAGAGGGCAAAGGGCTTTCCTGAGGCCACCCAGCCACAGTGGAAGGGCTAGGGATCAGGGCCAGGCCTGACCCCCCTCCGTTTCGGCTCCTCTGCCCTGCCCGTCTCCAGTACGGCATCACAGTGCCCCGATGGAGTTCCGCTGAGACGCCTCCACCTTGCCTTGCCTCCCAAGCTGGCAGCCTGGCTCTCCCTGATGCATTATTCAGCTCCCAAGAGCCAGCCAGCTCCTGTTACACCTACTGCAGCCCTGGGCAACTGCCCTGCCCATTTCCCTCCTCCCTTGCCCAGAACCTGGAGGGTCCGAGGTTCTCCTCCAAGGTGACTTGGTGTGGGCTTTGACCACCCCACTCTGGGCTCAAGACCCAGTTCCACTTCCGGTCCAATGCAGGGGTGATGGGTGGTTTAGGACAATGTCTTCCTCTGTGAAGCTGCAGTGGCCCAAGCGCTCCCTTTGGGGGTTGAGCCAGGGAGGCCCAGGGAGGGCCTGACCAGAGTCAGCATGGCTGTCACCATGGCAACTCTAAGGCCAGGATGTCCCCAGGCACAGGCCTCAGCAGGCTTCCCCATCCCCCTAAACAACACCCACTCACTTTCCACCACTGCTGAGGGTGAAACCCAAGGCGGCTCTAGAGGAGATGAATTATGGATCGGCCCTCCCGGAACCCTGGCCCTGTCCCTCCCCACACCACCCAGGTCAGTCCCAGCTGCTCTAAAACCAGGGAGGCCGTGAGCCCAGCCACGGGCAGGAGACCAAGCAGGTCCCCCATCTCCAAGTCGCTGAGCTTGTGACACCGGCTGGGAGCAGGAGGCCACCATGGCAAAGGAGGAAGATGAAGAGAAGAAAGGCAAGAAAGGGAAAAAGGGGAAGAAGGCGCTGGAGCCGGAGAAGCCCAAAAGGAGCCTGAAGGGGACGTCGCGGCTGTTCATGGGCTTCCGCGACCGCACGCCTAAGATCTCCAAGAAGGGCCAGTTCCGGAGTGCGTCGGCCTTCTTCTGGGGCCTCCACACTGGTCCCCAGAAGACCAAACGCAAGAAGAAGGCCCGCACGGTGCTCAAATCCACGTCGAAGCTCATGACGCAGATGCGCATGGGCAAGAAGAAGCGGGCGATGAAGGGCAAGAAGCCGTCCTTCATGGTGATCCGCTTCCCGGGCCGGCGAGGCTACGGCCGCCTCCGGCCGCGCGCCCAGTCGCTCAGCAAGGCGTCCACGGCCATCAACTGGCTCACCAAGAAGTTCCTCCTCAAGAAGGCCGAGGAGTCGGGCGGCGAGCAGGCCACGGTGGACGCCTGGCTGCAGCGCTCAGGCTCCCGCGTGGGCTCCCGCAAGCTGCCCTTCCCGTCGGGCGCCGAGATCCTGCGGCCCGGAGGCCGGCTCCGGAGGTTCCCCCGCAGCCGCAGCATCTATGCGGCGGGCGAGCCGGTGGGCTTCCTGCCCTTCGAGGACGAGGCCCCGTTCCGGCACTCGGGCTCGCGCAGGTCGCTCTACGGGCTCGAGGGCTTCCAAGACCTGGGCGAGTATTACGACTACCACCGCGAGGGCGACGACTACTACGACCGGCAGTCGCTCTACCACTACGAGGCGCAGGAGCCCTACCTGGCCGGCTACGGCCCCTACAGCCAGGCCCGGCCGCCGTACGGCGACTACCACTATGGGTACCCGCCCGAAGACCCCTATGACAACTACCACGCTGACTACTACGGCGGCTCCTTCTACCCGGGGTACACCTACGGGTACGGCTACCACGATTATGAACCCCTGTATGCTCCTCCGTCAGGGTATGAGTCCCCGTCTGCGTCCCCGTTGGGGTATGAACCCTTGTACGCGCCCCCTTCTGGGTACGAACCTCCGTATGCACCCCCTTCGGGGTACTCGTCTCCCTACAGCTACCCTGATGGGTACCAGGGCGAAGGGAACCCATACAGCTACTACCTGGACCCCTACGCACCTTATGACATGCCATACCCGCCCTACGAGCTCGCGCACTACACTCCCTACGACGTACCCTACTTGGATCCCTACGGGGTCCCCTACACCACCCCCTATGCCGAAGGCATCAGTGGCGGGGAGGGTGAGGCCATTTATCCCCCTGAAGTGCCCTATCTCTCCCCGGAGGAGTCGGCCTTTGCGTACCCCTGGGTGCCACCACCCATACTATCGCCCCACAACCCATACGCCCACCCCATGGATGACATTGCAGAGCTGGAGGAGCTGGAGGAGCCGGAGGCGGCGGGCGGAGAGCGGCAGAACACCTCCTTCCGCCTGCCCAGCGCCGCCTTCTTCGAGCAGCAAGGCATGGACAAGCCGGCCAGGTCCAAGCTGTCCCTCATCCGCAAGTTCCGCCTCTTCCCGCGGCCCCAGGTGAAGCTGTTTGGGAAGGAGAAGTTGGAGGTGTCCCTGCCACCCTCCCTGGACATCCCGCTGCCCTTGGGGGATGCAGACGACGAGGAGGAAGAGGAGGAGATGCCCCGGCTGCCCACGGTGCCCTACGGCCACCCTTCCTGGGGCTTCCTCACGCCGCGACAGCGCAACCTCCAGCGCGCCCTGTCGGCCTTCGGCGCCCACCGGGGCCTGGGCTTCAGCCCCGACTTTGGCCGCCCCCCGCCTCGCCCGGCCACCTCTCTGGCGCGGTTCCTCAAAAAGACGCTGTCCGAGACAAAGCCCGTCCCGAGGCTCAGGGGCAGCCAGACGGCCCGCGCTGGAGGCCCCGCCGNGCTCCCGCGCGCGTGGCGGCGCCTCAGCGAGCCGCCCACGCGGGCCGTGAAGCCGCGCATGCGCCAGTCCTTCAGCCGGCCGCCAGGCGCTGGATCCTGGCTTGCCGCTGCGTCGCTCCTGCAGCACCCCGAGAACGCGCAAGAACCCGAGGACTCGGAGACACCCTGGACGGTGCCTCCACTGGACCCCAGCTGGGACGGGGACGTGCCTGCCACCCAGCGTCCACCCTCTCCCTGGCCGGGAGGTGCAGGCAGCCGCCGAGGCTTTTCCAGGCCATCCCCAGTACCCCAAAACCCTTTCCTTCAGCACCTGGGCCTTGTGCCAGCCTCCACTCCCCAGCCTGAGGACCCAGCTGCCAACTCAACCAGAGTCTTCCTGAGCAGATATCATGACCCGGGGCCTGGACAGCTCAGCAAATCTGCTGGCGCGAGCCCTGAGAAGCCTGAAGAAGAGGCTGCCTTGGGGGATCCTCAGCCACCAGCAGAGCCTGAGCTCCCCGCCTTGAAATCCCCCAAGGATGCCCCCACAAAGCAGAAGAAGTTAACACTCAGCCTCTCGCACCCACTGGCTGCACGTAACCAGACGAGGGCCACATGGCCACCATGGCGCCTTTGGGGGACATCACCAAGAGCTCCAGCCCCCTTGGCACCCTCTGGGGTCCCGGCGCCCCTGCCCAAGGCGGGCAAGCAGCGTCAGGCAGGCCCTGGGCGTTTTGCTGTGGTCATGCCTCGGGTGCAGAAGCTGAGTTCCTTCCAGCTCATTGGGCCTGCTACCTTGCAGCGCCCTGTCCAGATGACCCAGGACCCCGAGCCCAGTCCCGAGCCGCGAGCCTGGAGCCTGAGCTGGTCCCACCTCTGGCTGCCAGCCCATGCCCACCGTCCAGGGCCACGAGTACACACCCGCCCCCAGTCCTGCCGTCTGGGTCCCGGAGCCACCTGCCTGTCCCTCAGGGGCTCTTGGGAAGAGGTTGTCCCCAAAAGCTGGCAGAAAAAGGTATGGGGACACAAGTCAGAGGGAGGGCTTGAGGGTTCTGGCTTAAGAAGCAGGGCAGGAGATGGCCTGAGGAGCCCTGTCAACCGGGTCAAGCTGCTGCCTGCTTGGGTCTCAGTCTCCCCATCTGTTAGTTGGGGAGAATAGCTTGGGCCTCCCAGAGCCTCTGGAGGGCAGAACAAGGGGATGCCCAGCACAAGCAGGCACAGGATAGAGATGTGAGAAGCTGCTCCTAGGTCACTTTTGGGAAGGGATCTTTGTCAGTCTCAGCCTGGACCCCAGCTAGCCCTGCCATGGTCTGATCTGGGTGGCTTGGCTTGTCTGGCCCCAGCAGCCCCTAGAGATTCTGGCAAAGCAGAGTGCAAACCTGCAGGACTTGTCTCTCTGCCCTGTTCCACCCTCACATCCATGTCCCTGCTGTTCCTCTTGACTCCTACTGACTTTCCCCCAAATTGGAGTCATCTCTGTCTCCTCAGGGCTCCTGCTCCCCTTTATAGTTCCCTGAGCTGCAGGGTTCTGGATTAGATGAGGGTGAGGGGCTCAGGACCCAACCTTCTGGCCTCCTCATTACAGAGTGGGGAGACTGAGGCCCAGAGGTCACACAGTGGATGGGGGCTGAGCCAGGAATCTGGGCTCCCTGTGGGGCGGGCAGGGCAGGCAGCCTGTCTGATGGATGTCCAGCTCATGCCTGGCTGCCACACTCATGGCGGAATGCGAGCCTGATGCTGTGTGGCCCTCAGCAGAGGTGGATGGTCACCGGAGCCTCCCACCGGAAGCCTAGGGTGGGCGGGGCAAGCAGGGGTGGCAGGTGCTTCTCAGCCTCTGCAGACGGTGCCCGGTGGAGCAGGCAGCCAGCCGGGCCCAGCAATGGCAACAGGAGCGGCCTGGCTGCTGGGAGGGCCCTGGCCTCGGCGGCGGGTGCCCCGCGCTGTGTGGGCTGCAGCATTGCGGGAGCGCAGTGCAGGACGCCCAGGGGTGAGGGGCAAGGATGCCTGGGCTCTCCTCATGCTGGAATACGTGAGTGGCTGAATTATTCAGGGTCTGTGGCCGCTGGTGAGCACATGGGCAGATGGGTGGGCTGGAGGCCAGAGCTGAAAGGGTGATACTCGCTGTGCCCTACTTAGGCACGTGGCTCCCTCCTGGTGTCCCCTTTCCTCACCTTCTCAAGGAGGGGTGTGGCTGGGATCAGAAAGGCTGAGGGTATATACTTGTGTAGTCACAGTCATGTGGATCCCATACAGGCCTGTGTGCCCAGATGTGTGTACAAACATGTACCACAGCCAAGCAAATGAAGCGTATGTGTGCATGAGCCAAGGTCTGAGCAGATGGGATATCTGTGGGGGTCAGAATTATTTGCCCACCCTCTGCATGTGTGCACACACGCATGTGTACATAGACAGGAACAGGGGAGACCCTGTAGCCCAAAGGTGGCATTGCAACTTCCATTCTCGAGATCCCCAGGGTGAGGAGGGCCCCAGCTTTTTGCCCGCACATATCCCTCCTGCCAAGTGGATGTTGAGGGTGTGTGTTTACTAATGTCTATGCCCCCTGCCAGACCCCACAGGTGTGCATGTGTGTTCACAGGCATCCTGCAAGATCACGGGTGTGCGTGGGAGTTGTATGAACTGCACATGCCCTTGTGTGTGGGTTCGTGCAAGTGTGACCACATGCTTGCCCCGGGATGGGTGCAGGGGTGCAGTGCTGAGATGGTCTACTGGAGGCCCCAAGCACCAGGAAATGAGTGTTCATTAAGTCATCATACAAGCGAACTTGTGGGGTCTACTGGGAAGAAGAGTGTGGCACTGGGAGAGCTGAGGTTGGGAGGGAGCAGGCACACGTGTGCATGTGTGTGTATGTGTGTGCATGCATACACTCACCCCCCAGAGCAGGACACTTGGGAGCTCATGGACATACCCACCCCAGAAATGCTCAGTCACTGAAGTCAGGTGTGTGTCCATGTGCGTGAGGGTTGCATGTACTTCTGTGGGCCATGGCGTTCTGTGGCTAGGAGGCCTGTCGGACCCACCCAGACTGGCCTTGGGGTTCCCTCCCTGACATCAGGAGCAGGTCCCAGGTGTGCCCAAACCAGGGGCTACCTGTGGGATACCCTCCAACCTGCCAACCACAGCCTTTCTCTCTCTCTCTCTCTCTCTCTCTCTCTCTCTCTCACTCACAGATGCACTCCATCCGCAACCTGCCATCCGTGCGATTCTGTGAGCAACGCAGGGAGGATGGTGTGGAAGACATGACGCAGCTGGAGTGAGTGTGTGGGGCCGGCGGGGTCCTCACGCTCCCAGCCAGGGAGCTTACTCCTACCAGAGGTGCCTCTCACCTCACAGAACATTTTTAGAGCCTCAGTTTCCCCATCTGCAAAGTGGGTGTCATGAAGGCCGAATGTGTGCACATCAAAGCTCTGTGAGTCAGATGGGCCTTGGTTCAGATCCCAGCACTACCACATACCAGCTGGGGGACCTTGGGCAAATCACTTCACCTCTCTGTGCCTCAGTTCTCATCCACAAGATGGGCAGGTGTGGCTCTTGTTGTTAGGGTGCTGGCACATTGGAAGTGCCCCAAACGTGAAGGCTGTGCTGATCAACATCATTATCCAACTGCAGTGACTCAGCTCTCACATCTGCTAGCTAAGAGCATCTTCCAAACCCCCAGTGAAGTAGGCACAATGATTATCATACTCATTGGACAGATGAAGAAACTGAGGCTCAGAGAGGTGAAGTAACTTGCCCAAGTTCTCAAGACTGGTTGGTGTCAGAGACTGGACTTGAACTCAGGCCTGTCTGACCAAGCCACTAGCTCTGGTCCTGGGGGTGCTGATAGCCCCTCTCCATGCCCTTCCAGAGACCTCCAGGAGACCACTGTGCTGTCCAACCTCAAGACCAGATTTGACCGGAACCTCATCTATGTAAGTCCAGGGGCTGGGCCAGGGTAGACTCCTCTGGGAGTCGGGTGGGAAGCACATTTCTCCTGCTAGGCCCAAGACCTGTGGCCTTTGGCTTCAATTCTGGGATTCTGCCGTTTCAGCCTAGAATGCTAGAGCCTACAAACTCTGAAATCTGAAGTTCTAAACACAATGGTGTCTTACAACGGTATATGCCAGAGGCAGAGACCTGGAGACACAGAATCCAGAAATGTGTGACCCCCACTGGGGACAATAGATAATGCTTTCCAGAGTCCTAGAATTCATAGACCTGGATCCCATAGTGGGGATGGCCAAGGGGTGGAAGGGAGCCCCTGACCCCAGAATAACAAAACAGAGGGCCAGAGGCCCAGAGCCACAGTGCTGAAGGCAGGAATACCCAGAAGGGCTCTGGCCACTTCAGGATCCCCTGGGCTCCCCACTCCAGGCAGTGGAGGTTTGACCTCAACGTGGTGCAAAAGCTCCTGGAGGCTGAGCTCGAGTATGAATAAATGAAGGAGGCAGCAGCCTGCATGGCTGCCTTTGCAGGATCATGGCTATGCCTGGTGTAGTACCTGAGATCCCACTGTTAGAAGACATGACCCACCAAGTGTTAGAGGGCAGTAGGTGGGAATACTGAGGCCCGGCAGCCAGCCAGACACCTGTTCCGATGGAAATGGGGATCCAGACTCCCAGAGTAGGGGAGGAAGAGACACAGAGGGCTGTGAGGAGCCATAGCACTGACGCCGCATCTGCCCAGCAGACATACATTGGCAGCATCCTGGTGTCAGTGAACCCGTACCGAATGTTCGGAATCTATGGGCCAGAACAGGTGCAGCAGTACAGTGGACGGGCCCTGGGAGAGAATCCCCCGTGAGTGTCTCCAAGACTGGGGGAGGGGCTTCCTGGGGTCTCCTGGGTCCCTCTCTGAACTTGGTGAGTGCCTGGGTGCCCTCAGCTTTGGGTCAGAGCTGATGGCAGTGGGCAACCTACTTGTTTAGCCTAATGGTCTCTCTCCAGGCCTGGCCATGGCGCTCTTTGGAGGCTCAGGACAGGGGTGGGAGCAGTTCCCCGAGAGGGTGAAGGGTGGAGCAGGATTGGCTGCTCAGCTGCACAGTGATTCCCCCACCACCACCACTACCCAACCCCTGGAAGGCTTGGGAGCACAGAGGCAAGAGATGGCCCCAATGACGCCTAGTGGCCTGTCTCCCCAGGCACCTCTTTGCAATTGCAAATCTCGCCTTCGCCAAAATGCTCGATGCCAAACAGAACCAGTGCATAATCATCAGGTGAGCCAGGCTGCGTTTACATGGCAGATGAATGGGGGAGACCTCAGGCAGCAGGTTCTACATCCAGCCGGTCTGCTCTGGGACCTAGGGAGATCACTCACATTTCTGGGCTGGGCCACCACCCCTGTCCCCTTGCTTCATGGTGGGGTCAGGGCAGACCCAGAAGAGTAAGTGAAAGGTTGAAGCTCATTCTGCCCCTTTGCCTGGTCAGTGGAGAGAGCGGCTCTGGCAAAACTGATTGTCCCCTTGCTTCATGGTGGGGTCAGGGCAGACCCAGAAGAGTAAGTGATAGGTTGAAGCTCATTCTGCCCCTTTGCCTGGTCAGTGGAGAGAGCGGCTCTGGCAAAACTGAGGCCACAAAGCTGATTCTGCGCTACCTGGCTGCCATGAACCAGAAACGGGATGTTATGCAGCAGGTGAGTCTATCTGGCCATTGCTTGGTGGATCTGTCTCCTCAGGACTCGTGGCCAGGTGCCCTTGCCTAGCACACCCCATGGGCTCCCTAAGAGGCAAGGCTCCCTAGCCTCACTTGAAGGTGGGGAGGCTGAGTTCCAGAGGGGTTGGACCTTGTTGAGGGCTGCCCTTTCTGCCTACTCCCCACTACCCAGGGAAGCACTTGGGGAGGGGGCAGATCCCTCCTGCCTGTGTTTCTGCAGCAGCTCTGGATTCCAGCCCTCCCAGGCCACATGGGCAAGGGGAGTCACCCATCTTGCCTGCCTGGCCTCACCTTCCTGGTATGGCCCCAGGGCCACCAGATTCTAGCACCCAGAGGCTGTGCAGCTCCGCAGCCCCTAAGTTGGTGAAGAGTCAGGACAGGCCTGAGCATGGAGATGGGGTGGGGTGCAGAGGGATGGGGCGTCAGAGGACACTGAACCAGGGTCTGTGAAGGATTGGAGGCTTGCTGAACCTCAGAGTGCTTAGTCCTCCAAACCTGAGAATGTTAGAACCTCATCCATTTCCTCAATAAAGGTTTACTGAGGACCTGCGATGGGCCAGGCCCAGGCTAGGCACTGGGGAGGAAGCAGGAGCAAATTGCACAGACTCCCTCATGGGAATTCCTTCTCATGGAGAAGGCAGAAAGAAAAATATATATATACACACAAACATGTGTATATATAGATGTATACAGTATTTGGGTGTGTGTGAAAGGGTGGTTAAGTTGTGGAGAAAAAAAAGCAGGGAGGGGATGGGGAGTGTGAGGTGTAGTTGTAGGCGTTGTGGGTCAGGTAGGCTGGACTGAGAAGGGAGGGAGTGGGTTCTGAGGTGAGGGGGGGAGCATGTGCAAAGGCCCTGAGTGTGAGCGGGTTTTGTGTGTGGGCTGCTTGGGCTGGTAATGTGGCAGCATGGAGTCCAGGCAAGGGAGGGCAGGACTCAGGCCAAGGGAGGTGGCGATGTGCCAGGTCAAACCCCACCAGTGACTTGCAGGACAAAACTGGGATATGAGAGACGGGGATGGTCCAAGGGCGACCCCAGGTGTTTGGTCCAAGCTGCAGGCAGCATGGAGGCAGGCAGGTCTGTGGAGGAGCCAGGCTAAGAAGAGGTGTCTGCTGGGTGTGCACACAGAGAGTGCGGGTAACTGGTGGAAGTGCCAGGAGTCTGGAGCTCAGGAGAAGGCAGGGCTGGCCCGCCAGCTCAAACTCCAGAACCATGGACTTCCCCAACCCTGGGGCCCATGAAGGTCTGCAAGTGGTGACAATGTCCCAGCCAATGGCGATCTTGGCAGCGCGATCCTGGGGGCATTGAGCAGGGGCTGCTTATCCCTCTGGGCAGTGGGTCGGCCCAGGCTGTGCAGTCAGGAGAGGCCCAGCCTGGCCCAGCCCTTCTGATGCCTGCTTTCACCTGCCAGCTCCTCCCGTCCTAGACTGGGCCTCCAGGTAGCCAACCAGATCACTCCTTTGCTCCAGGCAGGGTTTTCAAAGTCTTACAAATCAGACTTCTGGAAGGACAGGATAGGTAGGCAGTGAAAGAGATAAACGTGCCTCAAACACCTTTTCTGTGCCAGGCGCAAAGCGCCAAGCGCCTTCAGTCATCATCATACCAGAGCCTCACAGCAGCACTGGCAGGTAGGTATGTTTGTGTCCATTTACAGATGGGGAAACTGAGGCCTGGGAGGGGTGATGACTTGCCCAATGTCTCAAAGTGGAGAAGCTGGGATTTGCAGCCCATGGCAGAAAGCTGTCAGGGAGAATGGGCAGAGCCATGGTGCGTGGCTAGGTCTGGGAGTTTCAGTGCCAGGCACACAGTAGATGGGAGGACATGCCTGCCAGCTGTGATGACTATGGGGCTCCTTTCCTAGCCACGGCTCTGCCTTGTTCTGTAATCAGACGGTCCAGATCTAGAGTCCATTTTAGGCATGGCTGGATTCAGTGTCTTAAACAATGTCCCTCATCTGTGGCTTCATCCTCCCCTGTGTATGGGCATCATCTTCAGCCTGTCTCCCATTGGACAGCAGGATGACTCACACCTCCAACACAGTCTCAGGGATCCTTCTCATTGGACAGGTTTTGGTCATGTGTTCTGAGTGGAACAAATCGTGTAGCACAGGGAATGCTGTGCCCTGACTGGTTGATACCTGGGCCACAGGCTCCACCCCTTCCATGTTCACCCTCTCTGGCCAGTCAGTCATGCCCTTGGTTGCATGCCCTACCCTTTGCTGGGCTCTAGGAGCAGAGAAGCAGCCAACGTGCCCTCCGGTGCCCTCAAGGGGCTCCTTGAGTAAGGGGCAGTACAGGGGAAAGCCCAGGCAGACCTTGACTCATTTGAGCAACCACAGGGCAGCCCGTTCCTTTCCAAACAGTGGTGAGTAGGAAAAAACAAACTCAGTTTCTCCCCCTATACTCTCACAACATGCTTCTGACACCAGTTGTGTGGGGATTTCTCCCTACCAGCAAGCAAGCAAGCAAGCAATGAGTTTTGCAGCAGACACCAGCTGGGTGTCCTCCAATTCAATTCCAATGCTATCAACCTGGAGATAGTGTCAGATCACACAGGTTGAGGGCTTAGTCCCACAAGACTGAGCCCCACTTCCAGTGCTGATCGCAAGTCCGAGGATATTTCGCCTGTACTTCTGACCAATCCTCTATAAATTAGGTTTCCTATGACCGTCTCCTGGGGTTTGATTAATTTACTAGAGCAAGTCTGGCCAGTTAGCTCACTTGGAAGAGTGTGGTGCTGGTAACACCAAGGTCACAGATTTGGATCACCATACCAGCCAATTTTCAAAAATAAATAAATAAATAATAATAATTTGCTAGACCAGCACACAGAACTCAGGGAAACACTTAATTTACGTTACTTGTTTATTACAAATAAACAGCCAGATGAAGAGATACACAGGGCAAGGTCTGGAAGGGACCCAAGCATAGGAGCTTCTGTACCCGTGCTGGGCATGTGGATGTGTTTTTGTTCACCTTCCTGGAAGCTCCTGTTCTTTGGCTATCAGCAAGCTCCCCTAACCCAGTCCTTTTGGGTTTTTATAGAAGCTTCCTTATATAGGCATTGGCCATTGATCAAGTTAACCTTCAGCTCCTCTCCCCTCCCCAGAGGTTGGGAGATGGGGCCGAAAATCCCAACCCTCCAGTCCTACCTTGGTCTTTCCCGAGACCAGCTCCCATCTTGAAGTTACCTAGGGGTGGCCAACCATCAGCCAACTCACCAGTGAACAGAAAGGCACTTATCACTTTGGAGATTCCAAGGAATTTAGGACTTGTATGCCAGAAGACTGGGACAAGACCGCATATATATTTCACAATATCACAAATGGACACAGTATTTCCTGAACTAAATGGGATGGTGAGTGTGAACAAATGGTGGGAACTGGTACCATCCCCAAGATTACAGGTATTATTTCTGCAGTGACTGGGCCTCTGCTGCTCCTCCCCTGAGAATTTATCCTGAGGAAATGATTCAGCCAAAGAAAAGGCCATGTACACAGCAGGTACACACTGGGCACTGTGCTGCTCGTGATCCCACTGTCACAGGCTCTGGAGTCCCTGGGCATGTAACTTCACCTGTCTCAGTTTCTAATCTGTAAAACGGGCAATATTAGTACCCACCTCACAGGATCATTAACAATAGTGTAATGAGGGCGATGTGTCTGACACACAGTGGGAGCTGTGATCGGTGATGGTCACCTGTGTGCAGCACTGCTCGTGAGATGCTATTCCCTTTTTAATCCATTCAGCAGATATTTTTTAGAGGGCCTGCTATGCGACACAGGACTTAAAGGTGCACAAACACTAGGTTCCTGCCTTTGGGGCTGACACTCTAGGGGGGGAGACAGACGATACCCAAGAAAATAGACAAGGAGACAAGAGTTTGTCAGTGGTGCTGGGGGCTACAGAGGGAGAGAATTCCAGTGGTCCCGGGCGTGGGGGCAGATGGTGCAGATGCTGAGAGCATCAGCTTCCCGGCAGAAGGGATGGTAGGTGCAAATGCCCAGAAGCAGGAGTGTGCCTGGGTGTGGCGGGAACAGCAACGAGAGCCAGACAGTGCACAACAGAAGAGGAGGAGGTGAGGCCAACCGGGGCTGGGCCATGCAAGGCCTTGGGGGTCACAGCGAGGACTTGGCTTTGAGCCTGAGTGAGGTGGGAGCCGTGGGTGGAACATGACCTAAAGGACCTCTTTGTTGGCTGCATTGAGAACCCCTGGAGGGATCAAGAGCAGGGGCAGGCAGGAGGCTCAGGGGATCAGTGGCTGGTGGTGGCCATGCGGGTAGGGGAAGAGGACACCCCTAAAGCCTTTTGGTAGGTAGACCCAGCAGACTCTTGGGGGTCACACTGCAGTTTCCAAGCCCAGATACCTGGGGTCTCTGAGGCTTATGAATTTGAACTTCAGGGGTCAGGGTCGGGGGGCAAAGGGGTCCACCAATCTGTCTGTGGTCTGAGGCTCCTGGTCTCCTGGGGAGAGGTGGCCAGTCCTGCTGGTGACCTGCTTCTGTTCTCGTCCCTTTCTCCTTTTCCTCCCTCTTGGGTACTCCTAAAGATAAAGGTACTTGGAATGAGTGTGCGTGTGTATGCATGCTCCTGTGTGGACGGCAGGATGGGAAGGAAGATGCATCCAAAGGCCTGTCCTTGTGGTCAGGGGCTGCTGTGTGAGGGGCCCCTGGGACTGTGGGAGGCCAGAGGGCTAGGAGGGGGTAGCATGGGTCTTGCAGTGTGGGAGTTGGGCAGCATGGGGTGGGGAGTATTGGGGAGACCCCCAGGTTCTACAGGGAGCCCACATCCAATCGCCCCTCACAAAGTGGGGTCTGTGGGGAGGCCTGTGTCTGAGAATCCCCAGCCATGCCCCTTGACCAGGTCCCTAGAACAGTGCCCAGCTCCCCAGTTCCCACATCTTCTTCTGGGGTCCAGATCCTAGAGGCAACACCCCTCTTGGAGTCCTTTGGTAACGCCAAAACTGTCAGGAATGACAACTCCAGCCGCTTTGGGAAGTTCATGGAGATATTTCTGGAAGGGTGAGTGGGACAGTGGAGGGTCTCCCAAAGGCCTTGCAGTGTCCTCCATGTCCCACCACAGCCCCTCAGGACCACCTGCCCCCCACCCCCACCCCGTGAGCTGACTGTGCTTCCCACCCCAGGGGCGTGATCTCTGGTGCCATAACCTCCCAGTACCTGCTTGAGAAATCCAGGATTGTGTTTCAGGTGGGCCATCCCCTCCCAGACCTGTGTGTTGGGGTGGGGCGGAGTTGGAGCGGTACAGATGCTCAGAGCTTAGCACCTGGTGGGGCTGAGTAGATGTCGAATTAGTGAGCAAGTACACGCATAGGTGTGTACATGTGCCTTGTCACCTCCCTCCACCCCCTACAGCCACCTTGGCTCCTCCTGCCCCAGAGTACACCATGCATGTTCCCATTTCAGGGCCTTTGCACCTGCTATCCCTTCCCCCAGCACTCATCCCCCAGACACCTGCATGGCCAAACCCTTGACTCCTCCACGTCTTCTCTGCAATGTCACCTGCTCAGGGAAGCTGCCCCATTTAAACACAGCCCCTCTCCACCCCCCAGTACTCACTTCCCCACCCCTACTGCTTTCTTTCTCTCTAGAGTACTTTTCAACATCTGATATATTTTGTTTTAACCAGTGATTTTCTGAGTGTGTCTCGCCAGCTAACAGGTGGTTTTATGAGGTCTGGGGCTTTTGAATACCTTGTTCCCTGCTGTGTCCCCAGGGCCTAGACAGGGCCTGGTGCAAGGGAAGTGCTTGGCCAAGCTGCTGAGCCTACCATCAGGAGGCCTGTGTGTCCCTGTACTGGCCAGCTGCCAAAAAAGAGGAGGCCTTGAGTGTGCACATCTGGGCTACAGACACGTGTATATAGGCATGTGTGACTGGTGCACATGAGAGAAGACGAGTGTGTTTCTCTTATTTCTCCAAACAAAGTAAAATCCCACCTGGAGCCCCTCAACTACCAGTCATACCAGGGCCCCTCTGCTCCTGCTCCCACCCTCAGCTGGTGCCAGGCTAGGAGCCTCGCTCAACACAGGTGCCCAGTCTCAGCTGCAGGCATGTGTGTGTGTGTGTGTGTGTGTGTGGACATGCCTGGGCCTTGTGTGTGTCTTGGGGTCACCTAGGAGGCGGCTCCCTTTTATACACCCACACACCCACCCTGTAGGCCAAAAATGAGAGGAATTACCATATCTTCTACGAGCTGCTGGCTGGCCTGCCTGCCCAGCTCCGGCAGGCCTTCAGCCTGCAGGAGGCCGAGACCTACTACTATCTGAACCAGGTGAGTGCCAGCAGTCATCCAAGGGACCCCAGTCCTGGTCCTCCTTCCCCATCACCCCTGGGTGGGCCAAGGGAGCCGAGTTATGGTGTCTGAATGGTCAGCAAAGGTGATGGAGGTTTGAGTAGGCAAGTTTGAGTTTAAGGTGTTTTATCACAACAAGGAAGGCAGGAGTCTTCAAGATCCAGAGTGGGGGTAGGAGAAATCTATCTGACTGTTCATTTCTCTGAAGCCTAGAACAGGACCAGTCAGCCTGGGGCTGACTACATGTTCTCTCTCTGTGCCTCAGTTTCCTCATCTTTAAAATGGGGACAACATAGTACCACTTTGCAGGGATGTAGTGGGGCTTAAATGAGGAAATGCATATAAGGAACTTAGCTCAGGGTCCGTTGTGGAGTATATGGTCAGTAACCATCAGCTACTGTTCTCATTTTTGTCATCACTGGGCTGTGGCAAAGGTTAACAGGTAATAAACCCCTGCCACATGTTGCACTTAGTCTAGGATGCCTGTCCTCAGCCCCGCTCAGAGGTTCCTGGCCCATGACAGCAGAACCAGAGCTTGAGTGATCAGCTCAGGCCACACCACCGGTCAGGGCAGAGCAGGGACATTGAGGGCTCCCAGCCCCCACCCAGGGTCCCTACCCCCATCCCCTGCCTTCGCCCAGGGTGGGAACTGTGAGATCACCGGGAAGAGTGACACAGATGACTTCCGCCGGCTTCTGGCCGCCATGGAGGTTCTGGGTTTCAGCAGCGAGGACCAGGACAGCATCTTCCGCATCTTGGCCTCCATCCTGCACCTGGGCAATGTCTACTTTGAGAAGTATGAGGTGAGTGGACGCCACAGCCTGCCATAAGCGCTGGCACCCTCTGGACATGAGCCACCTTTTCAGAGGCTTGAGATGCCCCCTTCAGGGCTCTTTCAGGTTTCACTGTACACATATCATTTGTTTTTTCCCTCTGGGATTATTCATCTTTTTCTTATTGATATATCAGAATTTTTTATGTATGCTAATGAATCAGTCCTTTGTCTCTGATATGAATCTTAAATATAGTCATGTGCTACATAGTGACATTTTAGTCAACAATGGACCACATACATAATGGATGTTGGAGTGACAGGCTGTGCCATACAGTGCAGGTGCGTAGCAGGTTGTGCCATCTAGGTTTAAGTGCACTCTATGAGGTTTGCACAAGGAGACTGCCTGACAACACATTTCTCAGAACATATCCCTGTTAGGTGACACATGACTATGTTTTCCAGGTTGTCATTTATATTTCGAGTTTGTTTATAAGTTTTTTGGTGGGTTGTTTTTTTTTTTGTTTTGTTTTGTTTTGTTTTGCTATGCAGTTTTTTATTTTGGTTTGGTTTTAGGCAGTTCATTTATCAATCTGTTCCTGCATAAATTTTGAAATTTTGTCATATTTAGAGAAACCTATTTCTCTAAAATTATAACAGCCTTCTCCCACAATTTTTTCCCAAGAACTTTTATGGTTTTTGTAGGTTCTTTTTTAACATTTAAATCTTTGATTCATTGGGAATTTATCTTACTAACGTGTGAGGTAGGAATACACTTTTTCTTCCAGATGCTTACTCAGTTGTCCTAATCCCTTGTTCTGAAAAATACGTATCACATACGAAATTGCTGTATACATTAATGTCTAATTCCAGGCTTTCTATTGTGCTTTGTTTATCTGTTTGTGCACTGTATCTATGACCACACTGTTTTAATTATTATAACTTTATAGTATGCGTGTGCTACCTTGTAAGGCCTCCTCCACTCTTCTTTTTCAGAATTTTCCTGGCTATTTTAGCTTGTTGCTGTTTTTTATGTGAACTTTAAACTTGGCTTATCTATTTCAAAACACACTCCTGTTGGTATTTTCACAGGCAGATGCGCAGGAGGTGGCCTCCGTGGTGAGTGCCCGAGAGATACAGGCCGTGGCAGAGCTGCTGCAGATCTCACCTGAGGGCCTGCAGAAGGCCATCACCTTCAAAGTGACTGTGAGTCTGTGAGCACCTGGGATTCTAACAAAGCTTCCTGCCAGGGCCTGGACAGAGCTGCTTTGAGCCCCATCCTTTGTGGGCTGCCCCTCTCCTCTCTCTGTCCCTGTCCATCTCTGGGTCAGGCCCCAAGAGCATTAAGCTGCAATCTCCAGGCCTTTGCATAGGCCGTTCCCTCCGTCTGGAATGCTCCTCCTTTTTTCCCACCTACTCATCCTGCAAGACCCAATGCAGGTATCCCTCCCTCGAGAAATCTCTGACCTCTGGCTGGGTCAGTGTCTCATCTGCACTTTCACAACCCAGCTCTTCCCCACTTCCCAGGGCTGATCTCATTGTTGCTGTGTCTGCTTATGCCTCTGTCTCCCTCATTAGACCAGCAGCCCCCACCCCCACCCGTGTCACCAGGCAGAAGGGAGGAGGGTGTTCTGTCTGGTCTCTGGCCACCTGTGTGCCTAAGACAAGTCATACAATTTCTCTGGCCTCCCTTCCCCACCCCATCCACCTTCCCACCCCCCCACCTCCCCAGTCCTCTGGGGGTTTCCTGGAGGTCATGGCTAGCCTGATGCCACTCAAGGGGCATGTCTCTCCCCAGGAGACAATGCGAGAGAAGATCTTCACACCCTTGACCGTGGAGAGTGCCGTGGATGCCAGGTGAGGCCGTGCCCCTCCCTGCCTGAGCCCCCAGGCCCCCAGCACTCCCCCACTGTGCCCCACCCATCCGAGCACCACCTCTGCTCCAGGGATGCCATCGCCAAGGTCTTGTACGCACTGCTGTTCAGCTGGCTCATCGCCAGGGTCAACGCACTGGTGTCCCCACAGAAGGACACACTGTCCATCGCCATCCTGGACATCTATGGCTTTGAGGTGGGGCTGTGTGGGTGGGTGATAGTTGGGGGGGCTGTAAGTGTGGTGGGCTGCCCTTCCCATCCGTCTCTCTGCCTATAGCACACACCATTCTCCGTCTGGGGAACCCTCCCTTATCTTTGTCTCCCTGTCCCCTTCCATTTCTTTCACTTCCACATGAGCACTCCCTGAGGTTCCAGGGGCCAGGCCCTATGCTGTTCAATACCAAGGGCCCCGGAAAAGATGAGACCAGGCCTTGCCCTTGGGGAGCTTCCAGGTGGGGCTGGGTGGGGGTGGAGCACAGACTGAAAAACCCACGTGACCAGAGCCATAACAGAGGCAGCCTAGCGCTGGGGGAATCCAGAGGGGACCCTTAATTCAACTAGGCAGGGGTCAGGGAAGGCTTCCTGGAGTGGGAGGAAACTTTCCTGAAAACCAGTAAAGGCATTCTACATGGAGGGAACAGCATATGCAAAGGCTGGGAGGCGTGGCGGGGCATGGTGTCTGGGGAACCGGACGTCCGCTTGTGGGGGTGACTGCTGTGTTGCACGCACAGTGGGGTAAATGGTGAGAGGCAGGGCAAGATCATAATGATAAAAGCAACAGCAAGCACTCTTATGGCACCTATTATGTGCAGGTGCTGTTCTAAGCACTTTGTGTTTGTTAATTCACTTCTTCCTTACAACAGCCCTTTGAGGCAGTTACTGTCAGTATCCCCATTTTACAGATGGGAAAACTGAGGCACAGAGCAGTTGCCCAAGATTGCACAACTAAAAGTGGCAGAGCCAGGATTTGTACCCAGGCTAAAGCCACTACCTGTGCTGACAGGACCAAGACTGTCGGGCTCTATCCTCTGCAGCGGGATCCATGGAGGGTTCTGAGGAGGGGGTCTGTGGTTGGACTCCATTTTCTGAGGCTGCAGCCATGGAAGGGCAGGAAGGGCACTGGGCCTGGGCTGGGGGAGATGGGCAGGGTCCAAGGCGGGGACAGATGGGCTTCTGGCCAAGGAGGGATCAGGTCCAGCCTCACCATCCTCCTGGCAGGACCTGAGCTTCAACAGCTTTGAACAGCTGTGTATCAACTATGCAAACGAGAACCTTCAGTACCTTTTCAACAAGATCATCTTCCAGGAGGAGCAGGTGTGTGGACCCCCATTAACACCCCCATCCCTATCTTGACTGGCCTATGGGTCTCCTTGGGGACAGATGATGATACACTGGTTCTTTAAGGGCAAGTGCAGGGTTGTTAGTAGACAAATGGAGGGAAAGGCATTCTAAACTGGGGGTGGGGGGATCAGGACGTGTGAAAGCCTGTGACCTGGAGGGGAAGGTGCTGGGATACTGAGCCTAGGAAGGAGTCCTCTTGGGGGCCCTTCTTGTCCTCTGCTGCCCCCTCCCAGGGAGAGGGAGCAGCAGGGGCCTGAGATGGTTCATGTTACCTTAGGGGGTGAGATCCCTGTTTTAGGAGTTATGCAAGCAGGGCTGCCCCTGGCCAGGCTCCTTCAGACAGATGCCGCCTAGGATGTAGGATGGGCGGGCCCTGGGCAGGGCTAGGAGGTTGAGCCCCTACTGCATGCTGCACAGGAGGAGTACATCCGGGAGCAGATTGATTGGCGGGAGATCACCTTTGCCGACAATCAGCCCTGCATCAACCTCATCTCACTGAAGCCCTATGGCATCCTGCGCATCCTTGATGATCAGTGTTGCTTTCCCCAGGTGAGCCTGAGGCACTCTATGAGTCTATTTAGGTCACTAAGATCTCTGAGCCTCATCCCACCCTGAGTCCTTCATTCCTCTGTTTTGGCCTGATGTCGGGACACCCAACCTACCATTCACAACCTGGGGTGATTGAGGCTGGAGAGGGGCTGTGGGTGTCCAGAGGAGGGGCTGCACCAGCCTGGGAAGTCACAGAAGGCTTCCTGGAGGAAGTGACCTTGGGATTGAGCCTCAAATCCTGATTGCAAAACCCAAGGGTAGAATGGCAGTGGGACTACCAAGTGCAGAGGCAGCTGGGAGCTGAGTCGGCCACACCTGCCTGGAGGGTCCACTTAGACCTCCAGTGCCTGGCTAATGTGCTTTCCCCCACTCTCATTCAGGAAGATGGGCAGCCATGGGAATCTCAGTTGTTTCTCTCTGGTGCCTACCGGGGAGCAGTCAGGGCTGGAGAATTTGCCACCAGACCAGGAATGGGGTACCCAGGCTCCCTGCCCACCCACTGACCCCTGCCTGCCCCCAGGCCACAGACCACACGTTCCTGCAGAAGTGCCACTACCACCACGGCGCCAACCCACTCTACTCCAAACCCAAGATGCCACTGCCCGAGTTCACCATCAAGCACTACGCAGGCAAGGTCACCTACCAGGTGAGACATAAGACAGCCGGCATGGCCACTGGTGCTGTGGTTCCCCCAGCTGTTGGAGATATAGAAGCACAGTGTGGGCCCTAGACACTCACACCTGATTTCAGTTCTGGCTCTGCCACTTCCCAGCTGTGTGACTACAGGTAAATTGCTTAACCTCTCTGAGCCTCTGAACAGAGGAGGAGGAGTAGGGAACCAGCAAGCTGATGCACACTGGGGTGGATTATCCCTCTACCCTGCCCCGCAGGCTGCACGGGATGGGGTGAGTGGAGTCCAGCCCGAGCTGCCCGGCTGTTTCCCTTCTTTAGGTGCACAAATTCCTGGACAAGAACCACGACCAAGTGCGCCAGGACGTGCTGGACCTGTTTGTGCACAGCCGGACGCGGGTGAGCAAGCTTCACTTCAGCTGCTGAGGCCCTGCCCCGGAGCGCGCAGCCCACGGTCCGGCCTTGGAGTTACCATATCTTGGCTTCACGTAGCTTTGGCCAGCTGCGTTCCCACCTAGTTTGGCTCCGCCCCAAACCTGGTTCCGCTCCCATCCTGTCCAGGAAATGGGAAGGTACCCTAGCCCTGCTCCTGCTCTCTGGCTCACCTGAGCCACGCCCTGTACTTTCCCCCATCCCCTGGCCCCGCCCCTCTCACGGGCCCCGCCCGACCGGCCTGGGTCAATTGTCCCACCCCAGCCCCGCCTCCCCGTTCTTGATTCTGGGCTGGCTTCCTGCTAGGCAGTCCCCCCAACCCCAGTCCCCGGTATTCTCAGCCCTCCCCGCCAACTGAGTTCTGTTTTGTTTGCCCAGAGCCCTCCTGAGAGCTGCCATGGAGCGCTGGAGAGAGATTGGGGGACCTGATTTGGGTTTCTTGAACACTGGGAGGCCCCAGCCCCACTACCGGCCAGCAGATGGCCCTGTGACAGCTCAGGCCTACTGCATCTCCCCGCTATCTGGTCCTACACTTCCTCCTCTGTCAAATGGGCACTCTCCTCCTAAGGTCGTTGCCAGAGTCAATGACCTGTGTACAGCAGGCTACCTGGGGCCAGTTAGGGCCTGTGAGTTCCCCAGACTGAAGTTAAAAAAGCCAGGCCAGTCATAGGACGGCCCCTTGTAAGGTGCTGAGCCCCCGTTGTGAGAGGTGTGCACAGCAGCAGGACAGGGCTTTGCAGAGAGGATGGGGTCCGGTTAGCTTGTAGACCCCTCCGGTCCAGTGGCTTGACTCCTTTTGTTCTCTCTTTCCCTCCTCATTTCTGTCTCTCGGCTCCTCCCTGTCTGTTTTCCATACCTGCCGACCCACTTCTCACTGCCTTGGCCCCTGCACCTGCTGGCTGCCTACCCTACCCAGGTGGTAGCACACCTCTTCTCCAGCCACGCTCCGCAGGCTGCCCCTCAGCGCCTGGGCAAGAGCAGCTCCATTACCCGGCTCTACAAGGCGCATACCGTGGCTGCCAAGTTCCAGCAGTCACTCCTGGATCTGGTGGAAAAGATGGAGAGGTGGGGGTGGGGGCAGGTGGGCGGAGCACCCAGCCTCACCTTTAACACTTTCCATCACCCTCAGCAGGTGAGCACCCTCCTTCTCTGAGGCCTCACACTGCTCTCCTCCTGCCCCTGCCCAGGTGTAACCCCTTGTTCGTGCGTTGCCTGAAGCCCAACCACAAGAAGGTGAGAGCTGAGGCCCCTGGGAGAACCAAATCCTCCTCCCCATGCCGTATGGTTTTGGGCAAGTGGCTTGGCCTCTCTGGACCTCCACTGTGGGGCCTATTTCCCCTTTGATAGTGCCCTTTGCACATGGGTGGGTCAATGAGCAGACTCCCTCTCTGTGCATCCCTATAGGAGCCAGGTCTCTTTGAGCCAGATGTGGTGATGACCCAGTTACGCTATTCCGGGGTGCTGGAGACTGTGAGGATCCGCAAGGAGGGCTTTCCAGTGCGGCTGCCCTTCCAGGTGTTCATAGACAGGTACCTCGAACAGGGTAGTTCCTGAGCTCCACAGACCCCACACACACACACACCCTGTGACCCCAGGAACACACAACCCCACAGCACAGGGCTTGCCATGCACCGTTGCTCAGGCTGTACACTGCAGAAGACCACCACCATGGTAGATAAATTTATTGTTTTGCCTTTTTTCATAGTTTTATTGTATCTGTGTTGGTTGCAGAGAGGGGTGATTTTAATAATTATGACAAGTTTCCAGCAGATGGAAGTTAAGTGTCTTGTTCTACTGGAATCACCTGTAACAATTTTGACACCTTTTTCTGATTAGAAGACATTATGAGTGGAGCCAGCACTGGGGCAGGGTCTCCTGGACACAGGGTCTGGGGGTGGTAACCCATGGCATAGCAGGCACCTGGAGTAGGTCTCATAGCCCTAGGCTGAGTTTGGACCCCCGCAGGTACCGCTCTCTAGTGGCCCTCAAGCATGACCTGCCAGCTAATGGGGACATGTGTGTCTTGGTGCTGAGTCGCCTGTGCACAGTCATGCCAAACATGTACCGCGTTGGGGTCAGCAAGGTGAGTCCTACCCCCCAATCAACCCTTGGAGACCCCAAGTACAGGGGCTCTAGAACTGCAGCCTGTGTAGTCAGAAATGTCCAAGCTAAAGACTACTGTCTGAGAAGCAATCCACATGAGCCTGGTACATGGAATGCTAATCCCACCTCCAGACCCCGCTACCTGATTCAGCATTGCCCTTCCTTCCACCTCTCCAAACCCAACCCATCCTTTCAGCCCAGCTCCAGGAGGCTGTCCCAATCCATTCTGTCTCTGCAGATTTCTAGAGAGGGAGGGGCCCCCAGTCCAGCTTCCTAGCTCTTACCCGCCTCAGTACCTGCCTCCTATCCACAGCTGTTTCTTAAGGAACACCTACACCAGCTGCTGGAGAGCATGCGGGAGCGCATCCTGAATCTGGCAGCCCTCACGCTGCAGCGCTGCTTCCGCGGCTTCCTCATCCAGCAGCGTTTCCGCTCTCTGCGCCACAAGATCATCCTGCTGCAAAGCCGGGCCCGTGGCTACCTTGCCAGGTGTGGTCCAAAGAAGGCAGGACTTCTTGGGGCCCTGTGGTCAGGCTTGAGAGAGGCTGTGCCTGAACTCAGGTAGCGAGCTCCCTGTCCCTGGAGGCATGCAAGCTGAGGGTGGGGGCCTCTGCAGAAAGTATGATGAGGTCCTCTGCATCTCTGCTTTTGGATGCCCTTCCCACCCACACTGGGGACCTTGTGACTGGTGAGTGGAAATTTATACAGCTGAGAGGGACTGCACCCTGCATCTCAGGGACCCTGAGACTATAATTTCATGGGAGGTACATGGTCCAGGCAGGTTTAATCCAGACCCTTCCACTTAATTTGCTGTGTGACCTTGGCCAAGTCACTGCCCCTCTCTGAGCTCCAGTTTCTTTTTGCACCAAAGGGCCCCACAGTGAAGTGTGAGCACTGGCTCCCAGGCCAGGCTGGCATGGGCATCTCTGCTCCTTGGTCACCCTGTCATCCTGTGACCCCAATTCCTGACCTCTCTCCCCCCAGACAACGCTATCAGCAGATGAGGAGGAGTCTGGTGAAATTCCAGTCCCTGGTACACACGTACATGAGCCGCCAACGCTACCTCAAGGTACAGGCCCTGCCCCATCTGTATCCATGGGCAGCAGGGAGGGGGAGGAGACACTTAGCATCCAAGAAGAGACTGTGGGGGCCTCAGACAGTCTTGGGTTCAAATCCCCCCACCACCACCACCACCACTCACTAGCTCTGTGACCTTAGCCCCTTTCTGGCCTCAGTCTCCTACCCCTTGGGATTGTGGAGGGGGTGAAATGAGATGTTGCACATGATGGCTTTGGCCTGGTGCTAGGTCCACAGTGGGTCTTCACTAACTGGGTACAATTAAAATTTGGCAACCTGAACATCACTGGACATGGTTCTGTTGCCACCTTCATGCCAGTCGTGGTCCTGTCATATAAACCAACCACCAGAAAGACAAACATAATTCCCAATGTGTTGAAAAATGACGTAGCTTTTACTGAAGGTTTTGTGGAGCTGCAGAGGGCTTTCCATCACATGTCGCTCAGCCACTCCTAGAAATCCTCCTGTGTGCGCCACTCTCTTTCCTCAAAGTGTTCTTCCCTCCGCCCTCGGCCTCTGTCTGTCTCTTGCTCTTTCTCCACATGTCGCTCAGCCACTCCTAGAAATCCTCCTGTGTGCGCCGCTCTCTTTCCTCAAAGTGTTCTTCCCTCCGCCCTCGGCCTCTGTCTGTCTCTTGCTCTTTCTCCTTTCCCCTCCCTGTTTCTTGGCCACGCTTCTGTGCCCCCTCTCCATCTGTGAAGTGGGACAGTAGCCTCCAGGTAACAGGCAAGCTGCCCCCCTTTCTTCTCCTGCTGTCACCTCTGCCCGCCATTCCGCACCTTGACCATCTGCTCTCCTGCAGCTGAGGGCAGAAAGGAGGCACCGGGTGGAGGCGGCGTGGCTGCGGGAGCAGGAGGTGGGTGTGGGGTCTGGTGGTAGCAGGGGACAGGGAGGGAGGCCAACAGGTGGGGGTGTGGCAGGCTATCCCCTCACCATGCACTGTCCCTCCAGGAGCTGAGCAAGCGGGAGGTGGTGGCTGTGGGGCACCTGGAGGTACCAGCTGAGCTGGTGGGGCTCTTGCAAGCAGTGGCAGGTGAGTCAGTGCTGGGTGGCAGGGGAGAGTATAGGTGGACAAGGAGCGGGCGCCTCATGCCCTCCACTCTCCACAGGCCTCAGGGTGCCCCGTGTGGCCCCCGTGAGGACCCCCCGGCTCCAGGCTGAGCCCCGTGTCACCTTGCCCCTGGATATCAACAACTACCCCATGGCCAAGTTTGTCCGGTGCCACTTCAAGGTAAGGGCTGGCATAGGCCCAAAGGGCCCTAGTGAAGGGTACCAGCCAATTACAGTTGATACTGTCATCACCCTGGGGCAGGCTCCTGGCCGTGCCCTGTGGTGTCAGATATGCCCTTCAGTTGCTGTATTGTAGGTAATCTGGGGGGCTCCCAGGGGCCCCAGAGAGCAGTGGAGGGCCCTCAGGGATTTAGGCAGGACTTTACCAGCCAGTCTGGAAATATTTCAGGATGTGAACAACTTGTGGAACCACGGCCCATCAGCCCTGATCTAATTTCCTGTCCTCCAGGAAGGGCCCAGATGGGGGCTCATTCTGTCTCTACCACCGACTAGCCCCTTGCCGACCCTCAGTTTCCCCATCCATACATTAGGGACAGGATCCCCTACCTCATGGACTCTTGCACCCCAACCTGGCACAGGGCAGTGGATCCAGATGTGCCTTTCAGTCCCGGCTCATGTGCCTGCCCTGTACCCCCAGGAACCTGCCTTTGGGATGCTGACAGTGCCCCTGAGGATGCCTCTCACACAGCTGCCAGCTGAGCACCATGTGGAAGCCATGAGCATCTTCAAGCTGGTATGGGGTCTTCCTAGCCGACCTTCAGATTTATAATTCCTGCCCATGAGGCCAGGCCATGAAGTCCCCAGTACTTCCCTCCTGGGCCCTACACAAGCCCAACCCATGAGCTCCAGGCCTTTTCCTTGGAGGAGGACTTTTATGTCAATGGGGGGGATCTGGCTGCCTCTCTGGGGACTGGTGGCCTTCGTTCTCCCAGCCATCTTCCTGGCAAAAGGTTGCCTTGGAGCCTCTCTGGAGTCTCCCAGGGACACCCAGAAAAGACACAAGTCCTCTCCTCAAGGACTTCCCAGTCTGAGGGGGAGGCAGGGTAGCCCTGGCCAGTAACAACCAGCATGGACAAAGGGAAGCACAGAGGGTGGTGAGTCCAGATGGGCCACTAATTGAGCACTGGGCAGGGTCAGAGAGGGCTTCCTGGAGGAGGGGGCATTTGAGCTGGAGGTGAATTTGCAGGCAGACAGAGTGGAGAGCCACAGGGAGAAGAAGAAATCGGGGTGGTCAGAACAGAAAGTCAGAAGGGCAAGGGTGGGAGTGGTCAGCAAGGCCTTGATTGCAGACCCAGAGCTTGGGTGTCATCCAAGGGCCTTGGGGAGCCATGGGAGGTGCATCCATGGGAGGGATGTGGTCATATCTAAAAGTTAGAAAGAACTTTCCGGGTCTAGATGGAGCCAGAAGTGAGGGGCTGGCTAGAGGCCAGGGATGCAGAGAGAGGATTGGGGTGCATGGGGAGCTATAGAAGGTTCCTGAGCAGGAGAGAAAGTCAACGTGTACTTTGGACGTTGACGTTTCCATAATTGGGGTGAACTGCCTGGTCATTGGGCATGGAATATGGCAGTTATGTTGTAGTATGAGGTACTTTTATATGGGCAGGGGGATGCATGGGAGGGACATGAGAGGTATGCATGTTGCAGTGGGGACTGGCAGGAACAACTTCTGAGAGGCCCAGGAGAATCTGTTTGTGGCCTAGATCCTGCGTTTCATGGGCGACCCCCACCTGCATGGTGCCCAGGAGAACGTCTTCGGGAACTACATTGTGCAGAAGGGGCTGGAGGTGCCCGAGCTGCGGGATGAGATCCTGGCACAGCTGGTCAACCAGGTGTGGCACAATCACAATGCCCACAACACCGAGCGGGGCTGGCTGCTGCTGGCTGCCTGTCTCAGCAGCTTTGCGCCTTCCTCACGCTTCAACAAGTACCTCCTCAAGTGAGTGGGATGGGTGGGGCCAGGGCATTGTGTGGGGGCACCAGCAGCAAGGCCCGAGGCGGGAACTTAAAGGTCAGGCCAAGAGTGAGTCCTCTAGGCTGGAAAGTTCAGGCATGGAGGCTGGCCAGGGCTGTTCTCCATCTCTGCTGAGCTCGAAGCAAGAAAGAAGGGCAGGCCTTTACTGCAGAGGGTAAGAGTCAGGTCAGACTAGATGAAGGACTTCCAGAGCCCAGAGGGTGCCAAGACCAGGGGGTGGGGGATTTGGAAAAAAGCATTGACCTCTCATGTCATGGGAGAATAGTGGGGTATTAAGAACACAGATGCTAGACTCAGTCTAGGTTTAAATTCCAGATTAGCCACATATGAGCTCTGTGACCTTGGGCAAGTTACTTAACCTCTCTGGGCCTCAGTTTCCTTGCCTATAAAATGGGACAATGATAGTACCTACTTTATAGTCTGTTGTGAGGATGAAATATAACAAACGGGCACATGATGAGGGCTATGTGGGTGTAACCATCATGATGGTGATGATGTCACCCTGCTGCATGAGAAGAATGATTCGCAAGTGAGAGAGCTAAGGAAGGCCCTGGGTGTGAATCCCAGCTATGATAGTTACCTGCTGTGTGGCCTGGGGCAAGTCACTGCCCTTCTCTGAACCCATGACAGGGTAGCTGTAAGCTCTTGGGCCAGCGCGCAGTAGGTGGGCATCACTTGGCCAGTCTTGTGACTCTGTGGCAGCTGCTGCCTGCCTGGGGCCTTCCTGTGAGCATGGCTCTAGGTTTCCTCTCGTAGCTGCCGTGAGCCTGCACTGCTGCTGCTCCTGTCCAGAGCTAGCAGCAGTGGGAGGGGCAGGGAGGCATGAGGAGTGCCACCCCTGGTAGGGACTGGGCTCGTTGGTGCTGGGTCGAGTTGAACCCTCACCACCATCTCTTCTGTAGATGAGAACCTGGAGGTGAGGCTCAGGTAGGAGAGAGAATCACCCAGCATTGCCTGGTGAAAGAAGGAGGGCAGAGTCCTCCAGAGTCTGGGTTCTTGCCCACCCCAGCTGCAGGCCATACCCTGTTAATGCCCTTTTGCTCCAACAAGCTGGTACCTCTTTGGGCTATCTTTGGACCCCAGTCCTGGCCTGAAAGACTTCCCAGCTAGCCTGGGACCCCTTCAGTATAGTCTCTGAGCTCTGGACTATAATCTGGGATCCTTCTGAACTAGCTGTGGGAGTTTGAGGCTTACCTTAGAGCTCTGGGCTAGTCTGGACCTCTTTCAGCTTAGCCATGGAACTCTGGGCTGACCTGAGATCCTTTTTAGAATTCTGGGCTAGCCTGGGACCCCTTCAGTATAGTCTCTGAGCTCTGGACTATAATCTGGGACCCTTCTGAACTAGCTGTGGGAGTTTGAGGCTTACCTTAGAGCTCTGGGCTAGTCTGGACCTCTCTCATACTAGAGTCAAAATCCCCCTAGCCCTCCCTCAGCTAGCCTCAGATCCCTCTTGATCCTGGTTGCAACTCCTACCCATCAGGTTCGTGTCTGATTATGGGCAGAATGGCTTCCAGGCTGTGTGTCAGCACCATCTCATGCAGGCCATGGGCCGGGCCCAACAGCAGGGCCTAGGGGCTGCCCGCACCTTCCCCCCAACCCAGCTTGAGTGGATAGCAATCCATGAGAGGGCCAGCATGGCGCTGGACGTGACCTGCTTCAATGGTAAGCTGCCCTATCCCCACCCCATGCTGCTTTCTCTCCCTCCCTCATGAGGGGCAGCTGGAGTCAGCAGGGACCAGTATGTCCTGGGGTCGGCAGAAACCACGGGAGGTTCTGGACCTGGGGAGGGGCCTGCTAGGATGTGGCTCAGCACCAGTGTCAGTGTTGGGGGACTGGACCTGGACCAGGAGACAGGGGGCTGGGGCAGCAAGGATGCAGATACAGGGGCCCAGGACAAAATTGGGGAAGCCCGAGAGGAGGATGGGGCAGGAAAACACAGCAAGGCTGGAGTGCAGATGCCCCAGACTGAGCCCAGCACCCGCTGCCTCCCAGGTGACCAGTTCTCCTGCCCAGTGCACTCCTGGAGTACGGGGGAAGAGGTGGCTGGAGACATTCTGAGGCACAGGTTGGCTCCTAGAAAGCCTCGCCCAATGTACCCTGGTGCACCTGGAGGGAGGGAGGGTAGGAGGAAGAGAGGGGCAGGAGGCCAGATCCCCTAGAGGGTCCCCTAGGGTCCACTCTCATTGCTTGGGGTCTGGCTTATATCCCAGGGTCTACCCAGGTAGTGCCTGATAGCTCCATCCTTCATTTCCATCCCTCTGCATGCTATCACCAGGGGGCTGGCAGATGGCTGGCGGGGCTGGACGGTGGCCATGAAGAATGGGGTCCAGTGGGCAGAGCTGGCTGGCCATGACTATGTGCTGGACCTGGTGTCAGACCTGGAGCTGCTCAGGGACTTCCCACGACAGAAGTCCTACTTCATTGTGGGCACAGAAGGGCCCATGGCTGGCAGAGGAGGCCCCAGAGTGTAAGTAGCTACCTGCTCCTCACACAGGTGGCCTCCCACAGGCAGAAGCTCTGCCCCTCCCAGCTGCTGGGTGAGGCTGAGTTCTGACAGTTCAGCGACAGGTTCTTAAAGAGGTGGAACTCACCAAAGAGCCCTTCCTTTTAAAGGGAGAAAGTCACCCAATTTCAGGGCCTCTCTGGGGGTCAGCTGCTCCATGTTTTCCTTCCCCACAGGGTGTTTGGGAACAGCTGGGACTCGGATGAGGACACGCCCACTAGGCCCCAGCCCCAGGGGCACATGCCCAAAGTGCCTGACTCCGATGGGTACTGCAGCCACAATGAAGATGGTACAAATGGAGAGACTGAGGCCAGCAGAGAGACAGCGACCCACCAAGGTCAACCAGCAATGGCCACTGTCTCTGGTGGGGCAGGAGCCTAGGGGGCTGTGGGGGTAGAAATCAGTAGGAGAAAACCTGAGTTTCTTGTGTCCCCGCCTGCTCCAGACTCGGACAGCCTTGGAGAGCCTGCTGTGCCCAAGGGGCTGGACTGCTACCTGGACAGCCTCTTCGACCCCGTGCTGTCCTGTGGGGATGCGGTAGGGATGGGGTGGGGCATTTGCAGACAGCAAATGTACTCCCCAGGTCTCTCTCTCTCTCTCTCTCTCTCTCTCTCTCTCT